CAATATCCCTATTTAAGGTTCTAACCCTCAGACTATTTTCAACTATCAAATTGATCAGGTTTAATAAAGAAAATATCAAATACGCACAAGATAAGATAAAGAAATTTATATAAACGAGTAAAATAATTTAAATCAATCCGTCATAACAAGGGTTCACATAGGGTTTGTGACCCTAACTACAATAAAAGAACTTAGCCAGACATAGTCATATCTGACATAAACAAATATTCAAAAGAAAGCATAAAAACTATAATTACTGGAAAGAATGGAGAAGAAATCTTGATCTTCAGTCACCCTCTGCTTCCTCCGAGTTGTTAATTGGTTCCTTGGTTGTGCTCCCAAACTCCTTATTTATAGCCACAGGAATTGGGCCCATCATCTAATCTTCCTTTGAGTCCATCCAAGATTTGTATTTGATTTAAACTTTGTTTCCTTTTTCATGTAAAAATCTTGGAGATTTGATTGATAAATTAGAATTTCAAATCTTTATTGTATCTTGATTCAATCTTCTCACAAATCATCTAGATTTGTTTCCGCTTTAATTCCATATCTTTTCTGAATAAATCTTCATCAAATCTTTATGGAATCTGTCGCGATCTTGATCATATCTTTTTCGCATCTCTTTGTAATCTTATCTCTAATTTGGAAAGAGATCTAATTGCTGAATATCCACACTTTATTTTTAAGTCTTTTCCTTTTCCAAAATTTCCCCGTTGCAAAACACGGGATCTGAGAATTCGCAAACTGACGCTCTCAACGTCAAATTCACGCTTCAAGCGTGAATGCTTCTGTCTGAAAAATTCCTTCCACGCTTCCAGCGTGAGATCCACGCTTTGAGCGTGGATTTTGATTTTGAAAAATCCTCATTTTGCTCAAGTTTGTTTGCTTTTTCCTACAAAATTAGCATAAAATCAGTATTCAATCCTTGATTAAGATTTTGACAAATTAACAGTGATTCTTGCTCTTTTTCTCAAGATTTCATCAACATTCTTTCTCTTTTTTGGCTCAGATTTCCTTATATGCTAAGCGCATATCAAACAATTCCCAGATTAGAACTTTGTTGTCCTCAGCAATGTAATAGATTCAAGTTATCAACAAAGAATAATTCAGTGAAAACATGGAACACAACATCTTAAGAATTCAGACTGCTATGCATTTTGTTAAAAACTCCCAACAATGCTTTTCAGTTATATCAAGAATTAAAACTCCAGCATGAATATTCCTCATCAGTTATAAATATACTCTCATTACGCTCAGTGTTTGAGGGTTTCACACTTATTCCATTAGTGTAGCAGTAATTCCATAGGCTTGAACTTATTCTCAATTCCTAAGAATGAGGAATCCATTTGACATGCACAGACTGATCAAAAGGTCTTTGATAGGTTGTAACTTGGCCTGGTTTGGGGGTGAGAATCATTTTGTCGGAAGCTTTATTGGAGAGATTGAAATACTGATTTTAACAATACTTCTTTCTCTTCTTCATTATGCCTCATTTTACAAACTTGGGATTCTTTTCCTTTATTTGCTACCTTTTTCTTTCCTTGTTTGCAGATGTTTTCTTCCTTTTCTCTCTTGAGCTGCAATTCTCCTTCTTTTCCTTGTTCAACTACTTAACTTTTCCTTTTGAGAAGTACTTTGATTTTTCTTCTTTTGTTCAGCGTTCAATCTCTCAAGGTGTGTCAAGAGGAACAGGATTAAGTAATTTTCATCAGGTTGAAATGAACTGGTTTAAGGCTCAAAGGGGCTTAACAATGGAAATTCTTATGGGTAGGCTATTTGGCTCTAAGTTAATAAGAATAAAAAAATACCCTTATCATTTTAGTTATGCATGACAAGCCAGAGAAACAGTTCAAGTTCTAGAATCTACTACAGTGAGGCCTCTCTAAAATAAAATTATGTTTAGGCTCAAATCCTCACAGTTAAAATCCAAACTAGAATCTCAATTCATTGTTTCACATCAAGCATTATCAAACATTTTAGCAAAACAGTTATAAAAACGAGCAGTCATCATTCTCAGATTAAAACAAGTAATTGCTCACAGTTATAATGCTTCATCCAACTCAATCTAATTACTTACTGAGTAATCTCAGAACATTCTGGAACTGCTTGTTTAGGAATAATCTAAATTTTATTTTTTTCTTTTCTTAAAATAAAAATAAAAATTGAATCTAACTCAAAACAGCAAATAAAATAAAATAAAAAATTGAAGGTTAAAATATCTCCCCTGATAGAAGAATTGCAGCAGTTCTCAGGTGCAAGCCTACCATTCCCAGATTTAGAGAATTGCTGTCCTCAGCAATAATTAAACCACAAGAAGGAAGAAAAACATGCACAATAGAACAAAGAGTGGCATATAGAATAAACTATAATGCGCACATCAAAACTTCAGAGAAAAATATACCAACGTAAAGCCACTAAAAATAAAAATAAAAATACGAAACAGAAAAATAAACTAATATACAAAATATCCGTCAGCAAAGAGATATAATCAACCCTCCATGTCATCCCCCTCAGCAGCGTGGGATGACTCAGCAAATGGAAGGTCTGGTGGTACTGGATGCGTAGGTGTAGAAGACCATCATTCCCAGATTTGTTCCAAACCATGTAGCCATGTTAAGAACTCTTTGAAATTTTGATTTTTCCGAGATATAGAATCTCGGTGTCTCTTGTCAAACTTCAGCTTCTGGTGTCTCTTCCAACTCGTATCAAAAATTTTGACCACCTCATTTCTGATCGGGTTAAGCCTTCTTTGCGGTTGTCTCACAGGTTTGATGTTTTCTGCCATAAGAATTTTGTGTGTGCAAATAGAGGGATTAATACCCTTTAAATCAGAAATAGACCACCCTATGGCAGTCTTATGAGCTTTTAGAACTTCAACAAGCTCCTTTTCTTGACCAGGAGATAGTGTCGTATTGACAATTACATGATAAGTCTCTTCATTCCCCAAGAATACATATTTCAAAGTATCAGGCAGAGTTTTCAACTCAACCTTGGGTGGCTTATCTTCTATATCATCAGCTTTTTCTTTAAGCTCTTCCACAGCAACTTCTTTGCCTTCAAAGGGAACATGATCACGGGCTCTCAACTCATAATCAATCTCTTGTGGACGCATCTTCTTATGTTGCTCTTGAAACACTTCAACTTGAAAACAATCATCATTCTCAGCTGGTCTTTTCATTGCCTCAAAAACATTGTAATTGAGTTCCTCATCATGCATCCTTAATTTAATCATTCCCTGCTCAACATCAATTAGAGCACGGGCTGTAGCCAAAAAGGGCCTACCTAAAAGCAGAGGCTTATCACTTCCTTCCCCTGTATCCAACACCACAAAATCAACAAGAAAGATAAACTTGTCAACTTTGACAAGAACATCTTCAATGATCCCGTTAGGTTTCCTCACAGATCTATCAGCAAGTTGAAGAGAAACTTCTGTGGGTTTCAATTCTTCAATTCCCAGTGACTTATAAATAGAAAGAGGCATCAAGTTGATATTAGCCCCAAGATCACAAATAGCTCTGCCAATGGCAATATCATCAATAGTAATGGGAATATTAAAACTACCTGGATCACGAAGCTTAGCTGGAATCTTCTGCTGAATGAATGCACTATTTTTTGCAGTAAGTTCAACGGTTTGGCATTCTTGCAGTTTATTCTTCTTCAACAGATCCTTCATGAATTTTGCATATCCAGGCATATTTGCTAAGGCTTCTGCAAAAGGAATATTGATGTGCAGCTTCTTGAAGATGTCTAAGAACCTGTCATAATGCTTGTTAGTAACCTCTTTCTTGAACCTTTCTGGGTAAGGTGCTTGAGCCATTATATATTCATGGGTCAATGGGCAATTCTTATCAAAGAAAGATGGTTTTTCCTTTTCAATGACGGCTTCTTTCTCCTTTTCTTTCACAATTACTTCAGCCTCTGGTTCAACTGCTCCTTTCTGCTTCTCCTCTTGTTCCTTGTCTTCCGCACGATCAAGAGTTGGATTTGCAAGCGGTGCTACAACTTTGCCACTTCTAGTGGTAATAGCCACGCAGTCTTCCTTTGGATTGATAACTGTATTACTAGGAAAAGTACCTGGAATTCTTTCTGAAACCTGCTTTGCAAGTTGACCTATCTAATTCTCCAGGTTCTTTATGGAAGCACTTGTATTTTTGTTGTTGAAGAGCTCCTCCATGAAAGCATTTGAATGTTGAGCCATCTGTGCCACTAACTTTTCCAATTCAGAGGGTTCCTTTGCTTGAATTTGTGGAGGCTGCTGGTAGTTATTAGATTTGTAATCCATGCCAGCTCCTTGAGTTCTTCGCTAAAAATTTCCACCACCACCTCCAGCACCATAGTTATTGTTCCTTGGAAAGTTTGACGGTTGAGGGCGCTGGTCATATCATATTCCATTCACCTGTACTTGTTGAGGTGAATCATCTGATAACGAATTAGAGCATTCGTTGGATTCGTGAGCTTCCTGAGAAGTTGATTGAACATGAGACACTTGGAATTTATGAAATTGTTGCGCCAAACTGTCAAACTTACTATCAATCTTTTTGGATAACAGTTCAGCGAGCAAAGTGTCATTGTTTTCTTGCTTTATCACTCCTCTTTTTACTGAGGTTGGAACACTCTCATTTTCATCTCTTGCCAACTTCTTTATCAGATCGAGAGCTTGCTCTGAGGTACTCTGCCGAATAGAACCTCCAGCTGCACCATTAATCACCAACCTTGTTTCAGGAGAAATGCCATTAAAGAAAATTGCTACCTTTCTGTCATTGTCTGCTTCCCATTGTGGACACTTCCTGATAAGTTCTTGGAATCTATTCCAAGTTGCACATAATGATTCTTCTTCAAATTGACGAAAATTCGTGATTGCATTCACCAGCTGATTATATTTCTCCATAGAAAAGAAATGGGAAAAGAATTTGTTTGACAAATCTTCCCATGTTGAGATACTATTTGCTGGTTGCCTTTCTATCCATTTGAGAGCACTTCCCTTAACAGCAAAAGGAAACAGTCGGAGCCTGATAGCATCAGCTGGCACACCATTGTGCTTTGTAGTGTCACAGATCATCAAAAATCGATCTATGAACTCATGAGGGTCTTCCGCGTCAGCACCAGAATATTGAGCTCTTGCCACCAAAGAAATCAATGATGGTTTCAACTCAAAATTGTTTGCCTCCACCGTCGGCCTGACTATGCTTGAGTTTGGCCTATTGAACACTGGTGTCAGAATACTTTCCAACAATCTTGGGGTGGATTAATTGCATTGTGGCCTATGCCACCATCAGCGTTGTTGTTTCCTTCCATCTCTAGTTTCGGTTGTGCAGGTACGCTTTTCAAATCTTCCCAAATTATCTGCCTAGCCGCCTTCCTAAGTCTCCTCTCAGTCCTTGAAATTTCAGGATCAAGCAAAAAGTCTTTAGGTGGAAGTTTACCTCGCATAAAACTCAGAAAAATTTGTTAATAGCACCTGTAAAATGCAAACAAGAATAATAAAATAAAATAAAATAAAATTATATCTCAAAGATCAAAGGTTATTTATAATATTGAAATTTTCAATCCCCGGCAACGGCGCCAAAAACTTGATGCTATCCGGCAAGTATACCGTTTCGCATAAGTAGTAAAGTAGTAAGAAAGATCGTCTCCTCAGGGATTGAAAACCAAGTACTAAAATAATCAGTCACTTTAAGTTGAAAAACTTGATCTCTTGTTGGGAAAATTAAATTGAATCTTAGTAAAAATAAAGACTTATTTTTGAGTTTTTGTATTTTCAAGAATGAAAAAAAGAATAATAATGGAGTTGGTTTTGAAAATATGAGAAAGAATTGCAGTTAGGGAACACTCTCCCTATGATCCCCACTTATTACTTTGGATTGATACAAAATACTTATTTATATAATTTCTCAGATAATTATGATCTCAATATATTAATAATTAAATTCCAATCCCTTGGTAACTTAACCCTTTAACCTCACTTGGAATCCTAATCCCTTAGTAACCCCTCATGAGAATTAAGCAATGAACACAATAATTCCAACATCTGTAATTAAATATACATTTATCCCTAGTATGCATACCAATAGTTATCTTATCTCCTTCCAAGATCAGAAACCCCAATATCCCTATTTAAGGTTCTAACCCTCAGACTATTTTCAACTATCAAATTGATCAGGTTTAATAAAGAAAATATCAAATACGCACAAGATAAGATAAAGAAATTTATATAAACGAGTAAAATAATTTAAATCAATCCGTCATAACAAGGGTTCACATAGGGTTTGTGACCCTAACTACAATAAAAGAACTTAGCCAGACATAGTCATATCTGACATAAACAAATATTCCAAAGAAAGCATAAAAACTATAATTACTGGAAAGAATGGAGAAGAAATCTTGATCTTCAGTCACCCTCTGCTTGCTCCGAGTTGTTAATTGGTTCCTTGGTTGTGCTCCCAAGCTCCTTATTTATAGCCACAGGAATTGGGCCCATCATCTAATCTTCCTTTGAGTCCATCCAAGATTTGTATTTGATTTAAACTTTGTTTCCTTTTTCATGTAAAAATCTTGGAGATTTGATTGATAAATTAGAATTTCAAATCTTTATTGTATCTTGATTCAATCTTCTCACAAATCATCTAGATTTGTTTCGCTTTAATTCCATATCTTTTCTGAATAAATCTTCATCAAATCTTTATGGAATCTGTCGCGATCTTGATCATATCTTTTTCGCATCTCTTTGTAATCTTATCTCTAATTTGGAAAGAGATCTAATTGCTGAATATCCACACTTTATTTTTAAATCTTTTCCTTTTCCAAAATTGCCCTGTTGCAAAACACGGGATCTGAGAATTCGCAAACTGACGCTATCAGCGTCAAATTCACGCATCAAGCGTGAATGCTTCTGTCTGAAAAATTCCTTCCACGCTTCCAGCGTGAGATCCACGCTTTGAGCGTGGATTTTGATTTGAAAAATCCTCATTTTACTCCAGTTTGTTTTCTTTTTCCTACAAAATTAGCATAAAATCAGTATTCAATCCTTGATTAAGATTTTGACAAATTAACAGTGATTCTTGCTCTTTTTCTCAAGATTTCATCAACATTCTTTCTCTTTTTTGGCTCAGATTTCCTTATATGCTAAGCGCATATCAAGGGACCAAAAACAGAAGTCATCCATGAAGATTTCAATAGATTTCTCAATCATATCAGAAAAGATATAAAGCATACACCTTTGGAAAGTTGCAGGAGCATTGCACAGGCCGAAGGGTATCCTCCGGTAAGCGAAGACTCCGTAAGGGCATGTGAATGCTGTCTTTTCTTGAACTTCTGGAGCTACTGTTATTTGGTTGTAGCCTGAGTACCCATCCAGGAAGCAGTAGAAGGCATGGCCAGCTAGTCTCTCCAACATCTGGTCCAAGAAAGGAAGTGGGAAGTGGTCCTTCCGAGTGGCTGTGTTTAGTCTTCTGTAGTCAACGCATATCCTCCACCCAGTGACTGTCCTTGTTGAAATCAACTCATTGTTCTCCTTCTTCACCACGGTGACTCCACCTTTCTTGGGTACCGTTTGTACAGGACTTATCCATGCACTATCAGATATTGGGTAGATCGTACCTGCATCCAATAGTTTTACTACTTCTTTTCTAACCACTTCTTTCATGGTTGGATTGAGTCTCCTTTGTGGCTGCCTCACAGGTTTTATATCATCTTCCATTAGAATTTTATAAGTACAAAAGGAAGGATTTATACCTTTTAGGTCGGAGAAGGACCATCCTATGGCAGCTTTGTGTTTCTTCAGCACTTTAAGAAGTTTCTCTTCTTCTGCTGTTGTTAGCTCAACATTGATGATGACTGGATAGGTATTGTTGTTACCCTGGAAGGCATATTTTTAATTTGGAGGTAACTCCTTAAGCTCTACCTTTGGTGCTCCAAGAGGGATGTCATCTTTCTTTCTTTCAAGTTCTTCCACCACTGGTTCTTTATCAGCTATTTCAACGTCGTCGTTGATTTGTTCTAACTCGAGCGGGGAACTCTCCTCTTTCATAGCATCATCAATTGCTTCTTGTATTATGTCTATCATGAAACAGTCTTCTCCGTCTGTTGGATGTTTCATTGACTCGAAGACGTCAATGGTGACTGTTTCTTCGTTCACCCTCAGCATCAGTTTTCCTTGCTCCACATCAATAATTGCCTTCAAGATGGCTAAGAATGGCCTTCCAAGTAATAGGGGAATTTCGGTGTCTTCTTCCATATTCAGAACTACAAAATATGCAGGGAAGATAAATTTATCGATTTTAACTAAAACATCCTCAATTACCCCATCTGGTCGTCTGATCGATCTATCAGCTAACTGGAGAGAAACTGTAGTCGGCTTGAGCTCTTTGATTCCAAGAGCTCTGCACATGGACAGTGGCATCAGGTTGATACTTGCTCCTAGATCACATAATGCTTTTCCAACTTCAATGTTTCCTATTTCGATAGGAATACTGAAGCTGCCCGGATCCTTCAGCTTGGGAGGAGGTTTCTTCTGGATGATTGCACTGCATTCCTTTGTCAAGGCCACTGTTTCGCATTCCTTCAACCTGCATTTCTTTGATAAAAGGTCCTTCATGAACTTCGCATAGTTCCACCGGATCCTCCATATGCTGAGTCACCCCACGCTGCTGAAGGGGATGACATGGAGAGTTGATTATATCTCCTTGCTGATGGAGATTTTGTATATTACTTTATTTTTCTGTTTCGCATTTTTAGTTATTTTGCGTTGGTATATTTCTCTCTGATGTTTTAATGTGTGCATTATAGTTCATCCTATATGCCACTGTTTGTTCCATTGTGCAGGTTTTTCTTCCTTCTTGTGGTTTAATTATTGCTGAGGACAGCAATTCTCTAAATCTGGGAATGGTAGGCTTGCATCTTAGAACTGCAATTCATCTATCAGGGGAGATATTCTAAACTCTTTTAATTTTTCTTAGTCATTTTAGTTAGTATTTTGTGTTGCTCTTTATCTTAAAAAAAATGATATGCTTTTCAAGCAATTCTCAGGTTTAAATGTGCTTATCTAGTTAATATGCTTGACTGAATTTTTGGAAGTATGTTGTATGAACTTCTGGCATTATATTGTATGGGCATGAGTAGATTTCATGATTGCTCGTTTGTCTGAATTTTGTGCTTGAATGATTAATGATGCCTGATGTTTCTTTTGGAAGTCTAGCTTGACATCATAGCTGGTGAGGTTTTGTGCTTAAACACTTATTTTATTCTGAGAGGCCTCACTGTGATAGCATTCTAGAACTTGTTCTGTTTCTCTGTCATGCATGCATTGATTGAAATGATTAAGGCAATTTTATTCTGTTAGCCATGGCCAGATAGCCCAACTGTTTGATTTCTTCAGTGTTAACCCCTTTGAGCCTGAGCCCTTTTGTTCATAATTCCTGCTGATTGCTTAGCTTATTTCCAAGTGACTTACCTTAATTGAGATTGAATTACTGTTGTGTTGAAAATAAAACAAAGGCTCCACAAAGGTCAAGTAATTAGAAGAGGAAAAATTTCATCTGTGCCCTTAAAACAAAGGGAGAAAAAGAAAAAAGAAGAAGGTGAATGTAAAGAAAAGGTGGCTGAAAGGAATTAATTCCCGAAATTCTGTGGGAATGTTAGTGGAGCAAAATCATTGAGTTGAATGTGTTAAGAATGAAATAATATCAGTTTTTCAATCTCATTGTTGTTTGAGCTACTTTCCATATATTCCTACCCTTTAAACCGGCCAAGTTACAACCTGAGAAGTCCTTTTGATCAATTGTGCATGTGTTAATGTTCCTCATCTTTAGGAACTTGAGAATATGATTGATGTGCCTCTGGCAAGTGTGGTTTTTCGGTATTAAAATTGATAAGAATTGGGTCATAAGAGAGCAATTTAAATACATATTTGCTATTTATATTGATTCTTTCTATGTCAATAATATTCACCTTTTGGTTGTATTTTTACAGGTAAAAGGAGTGAAAATTACAAATTATAAAAAGCCTGATGACGCGACTCCACACACAGGAAAGTTCCATGTTGCATCATGTCGCACAGGCCAAAGTCCAAAGAAATGGCGCAACTTGGGGCCACAGTGGCGCAAGTTAGCGCCATGTTGCATTGTACAAATGCCAGAGAATTGGCGCTAGTTGGCTCCAGAATGGCGCAAACTAGCGCGACCATGCCAAGTGGCGCCCAAAAAGGTGAAAAATGGCGCCAACTAGCGCCGGTTTGCCGGAAATTATACCTGTTGTGCGAGGGCAATTTTGGAAAAATAGAAGAGACTTATAAATAGGATCCTCATGACAGAATTAGGGATTCAAACCTATTCTTTTGAAGAGAGACGACGGCAGAGCTCCGAGAGGATTCCTGAGATCAAGTTCTTCTTCTCTTTTCTCCTTAATTTTATGCTTTTGAATATTGGATTATTTTTAGCCATGATTATGTTTGGCTAATTTATTTTTATTGTAGTTAGGGTCACAAACCCTATGTGAACCCTTGTTACGCGGATTGATTTATAATTGCTCGTTTATATAATTATCTTTATCTCTACCCTGTTCGTATTTTATATTTTCTTTATTAGAATTGATCACTCTAATAGTTGATAATAGTCTGAGGGTTAGAACCCTAGATAGGAATATTGGGGTTTTCATCCTGAAAGGGGGTAGGATAACGGTTCGTATGCATGCTAGGAATAGATGTGTATTGAATTGCGGATGCCTAAATTATTGAGTTCATCGCTTAATTTTCATGAGGGGTTGCTAAGGGATTAGGATTCCAATTGAGATTAAAGGGTTAAATTGCCAAGGGATTGAGATTTAACTAATTATTTTAGATAATAATTTATCCGTGTAATTTTATAAATGAATATTGTAACCCAATGGGTGCAGCTCAGTTGGTAACTTGGCGCTGAGTTAGTGGGGTTGGATATGTGTTCGATTCCCGCTGAATGCATTCTTGGGGAGGGGGCTGAACCTTTAGCCATCACTGTTCCCCCGCACTCCGGATTAGTCCCATAGCTGGCTCAAAGAGTTGAAGCTCGTGGGGATACCGGAGGGAGCCAACTCGTCTCAAAGAGATAATTAGGGTTGGGTAACTCCAAAAAAAAAAATGAATATTGTAAATCAATCCAAAGTAAGAAGTGGGGATGATAAGGTGAGTGCGCTCTAGCTACAATGTTTTTCTCATATTTTCAAAACATCAATTCTTATTTTATTGTTCTTTTTCTCAATATAAAAATTACAAAAATAAGTCTTTATTTCAGTTCTCGATTTCAAACCAATCGACAATATTTGTCAAAACCATTTGAACTCATCCATTCTTGAAAACAATTATTATTTGATATACGATCACAATCCCTGTGGAGACGATACTTTACTTACCACTTTATTACTTGTGCGATCGGTATACTTGTCGGGAAGCATCAAGTTTTTGGCGCCGTTGCCGGGGATTGGCGTTTCGTATATCAATTAATTTTGATTTTTAAGATTGGATTTTTCTTTTATTTTTATTTTTGATTTTTTTTGTGATATTTGAACAAATGCTACTAATCTCTTTTCCAAGTTGTATGCGAGGTAAAGAGCCCGAGTTTCCACTTGATTTGGAGATCACAAAGACAGAGAAGAAAAACAGGAAATTTGCTCGGAAGAACCTTGTATTCATTGAGTTAGATATTCTGTCAGAAGAAGAATACACCATGGCAGGGAACAATGAAGAGGATAATCCGCTCATGGATACCATTCTGACTCCATTATTCAACAGACCCAATGCGAGCATTGTCCATCCTGAAGTGGGCAACAATAATTGGGAGCTCAAGTCTGATAATATTCGACTGGTGGAGAGAGCTCAGTTTGGTGGAGAGGATGATGAAGACCCTCATAGGTTCGTAAACTGATTCCTGATGATCTGTGACTCGACCAAGCATCCTCAAGTGTCCAATGATGCAATCCGGTTAAGGCTGTTCCCTTTTGCTCTTAAAGGAAAAGCTTTGAATTGGTTGGAGAGGCAACCTACGAGAAGTATTCCCTCATGGGAGAATTTATCAAACAAGTTCTTTGCTGAATTCTTCTCAATGGAGAGGTACAATCAAATGGTGAATGATATCACCAATTTCACTCAAGCTGAGGGTGAAACTATGTGTGCAGCCTGGAACCGCTTCAAAGATCTAATGAGGAGATGCCCTCATTACCCCATGACCAATGGTGATCAAGTCCGAATCTTCTTCAACGGATGCAAACCGAAAATCCAGATGGTCCTGAATGGTGCAGCAGGTGGTAGCATCAAATCGATGAGAGCAAATGAGACTCTTGCATTGATTGAAAGAATGGTTGCCAATGAAAATGAAGGGTTGTCATCTAAGCCTAAGAGAGGTATTCTTCACCTGGACAATAATGATGTAGTGCTAGCTGAAAATAAATTGTTATCACAGCAAATGGCAAATCTAACATCGAGGCTTGACAAGATGCAACTCTCTAGTGTCCAAGCCCAAGTTGCTTCAGTTGTTTGTGAGTACTGCAAGGGTGACCATGAATCCAATGACTGTTCATCTATATTATCTTCTGACTCCCCTCAACAAGTGCAGGTGAATGGGGTATGGTATGATCAAAGATCTCTGCCACGAAACAGTCCGAGGAATCCGAATTTCCCTTCTGGAAATAGCAATTTTCAGAGGAGAGGTCAAGGAGGTGGTCTTGATTATAGTTCTAACAACTATCTGCAGCCTCCACCAATTCCAGCTAAGGAACCCTCTGATTTGGAGAATCTAGTGGGACAGATGGCTCAACACTCCAATGCCTTCATGGAAGAGACAAGGGCCAATACCAAGAACACACAGTCTTCTATCAGAAATTTGGAGACTCAAATTGGCCAACTGGCTAAGCAAATTGCTGATAGAACTCCAGGCACCTTCCCTAGTAACACAGTCACCAATCCGAGGGAAGATTGTACGGCCATCACAATTAGAAGTGGAAAAATACTTCCATCTCCTGAGGTTAAAGAAAAGTTAGACACTGCAGGTGAGCCAGAAAAAGAAAAATAAATTGAAAAACCTGTTGAAGTGGTGAAGCCAGTGGAAAAGAAAAAGCATGAATTGAGTCACGAATATGCGAGGGCCATGGCACCCTATCCTGAAAGATTCAAGAAGGATGCTCAGAAGCAACATTATGACAGATTTCTTGATATATTCAAGAAATTGCATGTCAACATTCCCTTTGCTGAAGCTCTGGCTTGCATGCCCAATTATGCCAAGTTTATGAAAGACTTGTTATCAATAAAGCATAAGCTGCAAGAGTGCCAAACAGTAACACTCACTGAGGAGTGTAGTGCCATAATACAGAAGAAGTTTCCACCCAAGTTGAGTGGTCCAGGGAGCTTCAATATTCAAATTGAAATTGGCAACACCAAAATTGGCAGGGCATTATGTGATCTTGGGGCTAGCGTTAATTTGATGCCCCTTTCTGTTTGTAATTCCTTGGGCATCACCGAGTTGAAGCCTACGTTGGCATCTCTTCAACTTGCTGATAAGTCTATAAGGAAGCCTAGTGGAATAGTGGAAGATGTTCTTGTGAAGGTGGACAAGTTCATATTTTCTGTTGATT